TGTTGATATTCAGTATTTAAAGTTTGACTTGCAACCATTTCGACTTGGGACCGGTTTCTCGGAACCGAACTAGGTCGTAAGTTGGATGGTAGGTGTATTACGAATTTTCAGATAAAACACACAGGGTAATGCTCACTCAATGAGAAACAAAGCCAGACTGACTCAGATCGTGAGGGAGGCTTTGTGTGGGCACGGCAGGTGGACAAGTTCGGTACGGCAGACCGATGAAAATCAAGGTGATTAGCGAAAGGTGGGACAAAATTTTGACGAAAACAGTCATCTAAAACCAGGGTAAACGAAAACAGAGGTCCCACTGTAGTAATAATATTTAATAGTAGTATGTGAGTGTGTTAAGTGTGAGTGGAAACAAATGGTTTTTATAACTTGACTAGCTGTTGGAGTGTGAGCAGGGTATTATTTTGTGAAGGGATTTGGGGAAACCAGTTAGCCAGACTTGAGTCCTGGAGGTGGGAAGTACAGTACTTGCACTCTAAAGGAGGGGTTTAGGATACTTGCTGTTTAGAGTGACATCTAAACTGTAGTATCTGTACACCTTGGTAAGACAGTGATAGTGTAAATGATGGTGAAAGTGTTTGTTTTTCAGGTCACCCTACCTCAATGGGAGATGGCCATGGTGGTAAAAAAAAAAAATTTAATAATACAATAATTACGTAAGTGTTTTTCTTGTTTAGCACATGCGTATATACATCTGAATTTCAATATTTACTTCAGTATGCTTCAGGTGACTGTGACAGCCCAAGTTCACCAACTAATATATCAGATGTTTCATCACATAGTGGAGGTTCTGCATATTCTCCTGAAGTATCATCTGCCTCGCCTCACTCTGGTAAAAGCATTCGGTCGCTGTCATCTCGCACTCTACAAGAATTAGAAAAAATGTTGCATGCAAAGAAGGTAATTTTTTGTTTTACATGGTGGTGGGTGTTCGAGTTTGCAGTTCACAGTATTGCTATTATTTATAGTCGAGATCTTAATATGTTTGAAAATGTTTCCATCTTGAGGTAAATTCTTTGTTGTGGATAGAGATGAGATTATTTTATTGTGATTGTAACAATAGTTGATAATTATGCAACCAACAAAATTTGTCAGTTGTTTGTGAATCACTTGACCCAGAAGATATCCACAATTTCCAACATCCGTTGAATCAGCTCAGAATTAAAATCGAACATTCACTATAGTATATTTATAGGTACGTGAATAGAGCTATGACTTTTGGCTTCTTACATTCATAATTCACTTACATAATTTATTAAATATTCAGCTAGGTGCTATATTTATTAACCCTTCATTTATTCTATTGTGGTAATTCACTGCCCTTCACAGATAACCCACACATAGGAAAGAGAGACAATGACATTATGGTCTGACTTGAACCATCAACTTGTCTCATAATAACACAGGAAGGAAAGAAAGCTAGTACAGTGGACCCCCGGTTAACGAACTTTTTTCACTCCAGAAGTATGTTCAGGTGCAGTACTGACCGAATTTTTTCCCATAAGGAATATTGTGAAGTAGATTAGTCCATTTCAGACCCCAAACATACACGTACAAACGCACTTACATAAATACACTTACATAATTGGTCGCATTTGGAGGTGATCGTTAAGCGGGGGTCCACTGTATATGTATGCGGGTTATTTGTGTATTTTTCCAGTTGTGGTACTGTGACTTTTTGAAGATTGAGACACTTATGCAGCATATGGGAATCTTTATTCAGGAAACGTTTCACCACACAGTGGCTTCATCAGTCCAATACAAAGAGGAAGGCATAAGGAGAGGAGGATTATGAGGTAATCAGTCCCTCAGCCTGGAGTCGATGTGTTCAGTCCATCAATCTTGTAGAATGTACATTCTACAAGATTGATGGACTGAACACATCGACTCCAGGCTGAGGGACTGATTACCTCATACTCCTCCTCTCCTTACGCCTTCCTCTTTGTATTGGACTGATGAAGCCACTGTGTGGCGAAACGTTTCCCGAATAAAGATTCCCATATGCTGCATAAGTGTCTCAATCTTCAACTTGTCGGTTTTTCAAACCATTCATCACAACTGTGACTTTTTGTTCTTTTTGTCTATAGTATTTTATTCTTTTGTTTTAGATGGCTTACAATGCTGCCTGCGCTGGAAATTTTTCCGAAAAGCAGAGAAAGTTGAGAAAGCAGTGTGTCGAGATTGAGAAAGAAATAGCACTGAAGAAAGGGTCCAACTACTACAAGTAAATATTCAGTATACAGCTAGATCTTGATTAGTGCAAGTTCGAACAGTCCAAATTTCTCATTAGTCTGAAATCAATTAATGCTAGCTTTTTCCCAAACTCAAATCATGCGCAAAAATTACATATGATTTCAATGTTGCGATTGCAATTCACGGGATTTATTATTCACATTAGTCGAGACCTAGCTGTATCTGCTTCCTTTTCCCCCATTGGTAATAAATACATAGTTATAATTTATTGAATACTACAGGTGCCCCTCGACTTCGAGTGGTTCAACTTTAAATATTTCGACTTTACAATTGTGCAAAAGCAGTTACTTTCATGATGAGACTTAAGATAATATTACCCAACATGAAGACAGCAAATCTATAACTTGCACATATTCATTTACAGTGGTACCTCGAATTTTGATCAGCTCCTAACTCGAACACTTATGTAAGTGTTATTTTTGTAAGTGCTTTTGTGAGTGTTTTTGGGGGTCTGAAACAGACGAATCTAATTTACATTATTCCTTGTGGGAACAGATTTGTTCAGTAATGGCACTCGAACAGCATTCTGGAATGAATTAAGGCCAAAATTCGAGGTACCACTGTACTTTACTTGCTTTCCAATACGTACTGTTATTTAGTTATTTACTTGTTCAGTGACAGTAAATTAAAATGAATGTGTTTATTTCCTTGCAAAGTTTACAATGTGTGGTTTACATATTACAAAACATTAATCACAAAGAAAGCCATTAACATGCCTAGGCATTTCAGGCAGACTAATCCTAATTCTGACTCGCGAAATCGTAATGGCACGATTGCAAACAAACCATACCATGGGCAGGGATAGAACCTGCATCAGTCTGGAGTTTTATGACTATGATTACAGGTTTTATCCCCACCGTGGTATGGTTTACCGTCCCATAACACAGGTTATGGGACGGTGCATTTTAATGTTCATTATTGCATATTGAAGTAAAAGTTAGGTAATTAAAAAGTTTATCATTAATAAGGTAGATAATAGTGAGTTCAAAACATACACACAATAGTATTACCATTAATAAATTTAGTAATGGGGATGGTTTTATCTTGACACGATACTGTTTCTATAAGAGCTCCCTTGTATTGTCAAAATATTTCAGACAAACTTTGGACTAAAGATTAAGTAACAGTTATATATAAGTAGTTATTCATTTACTTATTTAGCATATCATATTTATTTGACTTAGGATGGGTTCATCGGAACGTCGCCCTATTTTAAGTCGGGGAGCACCTGTACTACATACGGGTGTAGCAGTATTTTTTATTTTTTAATTAAAATACAGCCCATACAGATTAAACATTTTTATGTTAAAAGTTGCTAGTTTACTAGTGCAACCTGCTATATTATTATAGTTGATAGTTATACACCTCTGGTGATTGTCATTACTATGTACTTTTATACTGTATTATCATTTATTTGTAAATACGGTGGTACCTCGGGATACGAACTTCGTTCCAGAAGGCTGTTCAAGTGCTGATACCAAATGAATTTGTTCCCATAAGGAATAATGTAAATTAGATTAATCCGTTTCAGATCCCCAAAAATACACTTAAAAATACACTTACGTAAATACACTTACATAATTGTTCGACTTTTGAGCTGTTCGTATCCCGAGGTACCTCTGTAATTTTTTTTTTAATTAAGTAAATGTTTCAGGTTTGATGGTAACCCACCTTCGCCTGCTGAAGAATCAGCATTGACCCTGTCATCTGACCTAGAAAGAGAGAGAATGCTGGATGCTGACGAAAGTACTCTGGACCTTAAGGTACATTATCAGTCTTTACCACATCCCATCCTGCATTCCTCTGTGACTCTTTTGGGTTTTGCACTTTTTTTTTTTTTTTTTTTTTTTTTTTTTGTAACCAGGCATCATTCACCGAGGCAGGGCGACCTGAAAAATAAGGAATGTCAAGTTTTTTTTTTTCTTAAACAAACAGGCCCTATCCCACTGAGGCTGGGTGATCCAAAAAGAAAAATGAAGGTTTTTGTTTTTAAATTTAATAGCTTACACAAGAGAAGGAGTTACTAGCATCTTGCTCCTGGCATGTTAGTCGCCTCTTACAACTCTCTTGGGTTACGGAGGAAGGATTCTTCTCCACTTCCTCGTGGAGAGTTTGATATTATTATACAGATAAACTAATAGAAAAAACATTCATTGTTTTTATCTTAAATTTTTCATACAGCAGCTCTAATAATCACATTCACAGGAGGGGAGTAACATGCAGTAGTCGAAGATTGAGACACTTATGCAGCATATGGAAATCTTTTATTCAGGAAACGTTTCGCCACACAGTGGCTTCATCAGTCCAATACAAAGAGGAAGGCGTAAGGAGAGGAGGAGAATGAGGTAATCAGTCCCTCAACCTGGAGTCGATGTGTTCAGTCCATCGACTCCAGGTTGAGGGACTGATTACCTCATTCTCCTCCTCTCCTTACGCCTTCCTCTTTGTATTGGACTGATGAAGCCACTGTGTGGCGAAACGTTTCCTGAATAAAGATTTCCATATGCTGCATAAGTGTCTCAATCTTCAACTTGTCGGTTTTTCAAACCATTCATCACAACATGCAGTAGTCCCTCTGTATCTGCAGGATAAGTTCCAAGACCTGCCAAGTTAGTGATGCTGGCAGTTTTTTCATAGCCTCAGAGATGTCGTGAAATGCTTCCCATCGGTGAAAAAGTGCTAATTCTAGACTTTGTATAATTTATCAATTAAACTTTATTGTAGGTATATATGTATGTTAGCAAAAAATAACATTAGTATAGGGTTTGCTACTATCCACAGTTTCAGGTATCCACGGTAGGTCTTGGAATGTATCCCCTGCAGATATGGGGGCAATTGCAGTGGTACCTCAAAAATCGAACTTAATCCGTTCCAGGAGCTAGTTCTAAATTCGAAAAGTCTGAAATTCGAAGCAATATTTCCCATAAGAAATAATGGAAATACAATTAATCCGTTCCAGAAACCCAAAAATATTCACACAAAAAAATACATTTTATAGAGATTAATTACAGTTTTACATACAACAAATATTATAGTTTTTAATTATGTATATTTTACATATAAAATAACATTTTTACTGACCTTTATTGAAGATTGGTGATGGCATCTGGAAGATAGGGAGGAGGAGAGAGGGAATTGGGGTTATTGTTTGGAAGGACTTGAGGACTTCAGGTAAAGCCCTCTCTGGGGTTACTTCCCTTCTCTGTCTTTTAATGCCACTAGGACCAGCTTGAGAGTCACTGGACCCCTGTCTCACAAAATAACTGTCCCCAGTCCTCTGTTTCTGGTGCCTCTTTAACATTTCCCTAAAATGGGACATGGTTCTGTCACTGAACTTGTTGCAAAGATGGCTTGTTTCAGCTTGCTCAGGGTGGTACTTCTGCACAAACATTTGGACATCATTCCACTTGGCACCAATCTCCTTAATCTTTGAAGAAGGCACCTCATCCACTCCACTCCCTATATTAACACCTTTCGCAACATCAGCTTCCTTGATTTGTTCTTTCTTTGACAGGATAGAACCGATGGTCGACTTGTTTTTCCCATACATCCTGGCAAGCTCAACAGTCTCACACCACTCGTACTTCTGTATTATTTCCTTCTTCACATCTATGTGTTTCTCACTTTCTTTATCACAGGGGTACCACTAGCAAGTTTCTTTGGGCCCATGGCAGCTTATTTCACAGTCCCACAAGCACTAAACACAAAGAAATAATCGTAAAATGCGTGAATGAGAGCGCAGGTTAGTGTTCACTCAAGCATAAACAAAGCTAAGACTATTCAACGGCGAAAGCGTGGTGACGCGGATAGAGCGGCCGGCAGACAGCTCCCGTACCTGGCAGTCCAAAAATAGGGGAGGTTCGATATAGGGACACTGTCCAAAATAATGGTCCTATTTTCGAAACGTTCGATATGTGATATGTTCGATTTTTGAGGTTCCACTGTACACTGTATACGACTTCTCCAGCACTACTCTAATTTGCCTGTTATAACCTCCTCCACTTTGTAACAATGCCAAAGGTAATATTAATAAAAGGAAAAAATTAAAAATAAAAATTGGGTAAAATTTGCCAAAAATTCACTACGTACATCAGGATATATTGACTATGGAGTCTTCTTTCATCAAACTGGACATATCCCACCAAGGCAGGGTGGCCCAAAAAGAAAAACGAAAGTTTCTTTTTAAATTTAGTAATTTATACAGAGAAGGGTTACTAGCCCCTTGCTCCCAGCATTTTAGTTGCCTCTTACGATACGCATGGCTCACAGAGGAAGAATTCTGTTCCACTTCCCCATGGAGATAAGAAATAAACAAGAACTAGTAAGGAAATGAAGAAAAACCCAGAGGGTTGTTGTGTGTATATATACACCAACCATCCGACTTACAACGAGTTCGGTTCCAAGAAACCGGTCGTAAGTCGAACTTTTACTACTGAATATCAACAAAACATTTTTGTAATGACTATTTTATTGTTTTATTTGGTATTTCATGTTTTACTTTACTTTTTATGCTGTTAGTACTGTATTTTATACTGTAAGGTTAGGATAAACGCTGAGTACAACACAAATAGTTGTTTATTTCCCAGAAATTTGGCATAAAAAACACGATCGTAAAGTCGAGTGGTCATAAGTCAAGCAGGTCGTAAGTCGGATGGTAGGTGTATATATATATATATATATATACAGGAGGCCCCACTTATACGGCAGGTTAGGTTCCAGGCTACCGCCGTAAAGCGGAAAACCGCCGTAAAGTGGAAACACCCTTTTTTTTCCACTTATAAATGCATACAAACACTAGATAACAAGTTTACACTAACATATAATTAAGTTAGCAATAGAACCAGGCATCAACAAACAATAAAAAAGTATAATACACACATAGTGCACTCATTACTTACCTTAAAATATTTATAGTCTTAATCTAGGGTGAGACAAGTAGTATTTATTGTAAGAAATCAAGTGTGGTATGTATGGTGTCAGCCAGGCTACCATACCAGGCCACCCCACCCACACATACTATTCTATGATATTTAAGCATCCCAGAGCGATAAAATGTATATACAGTTCACTCATTACTTACCTTAAAATATTTGTAGTCTTAATGTAGGGTCAGGAGTAAGTAAATGAGATAAAACGAATAAATGAGAGAGAGAAAGAATGAGTACATGAGAGGGGACAGGCGCAGAGTTATGTAAACAAACCAGGCGAACGTAAGTTTTGTAAACAAACGAAGTGTACACGTCTGGTTTGTGTACAAGTTACATTGTGTACAGGTTGTCTCTACATTGATACGGTAGAATTAATAAAGAAGAAACACTCCCATTCTCATGTAACATCATTTTGAGAAGAAATGAAGCTCTGAGTGAAGGCAATGGAAATAAGTCACACTGACTTTTTTGGGTTATCCTGGGTTCTCTACACGTATGTTGTTATGTATGATAATCTATGTAACTGTATTTGTGTATACCTGAATAAACTTACATACATACGAAAGGAATAATTTTCTACAGTTACCCCCAGTAACACATTTTCTCTTATGTTAGATTAGAGAAAATGTTATTCTTGCCATCACTTGTACAAGTTATGTGGCTCCCACATCTTATATTTGTTTATTTATTCTATTGTGGGGTGTATTTATCATCTTTTTATGTTATGTATCGTGTTTATTATATAATTTTGAAAAAAATATCATGGATGGATTAATGAAAATGTGTATACAGTGGACCCCCGGTTAACGATTTTAATCCGTGCAAGAGGGCTCATCGTTATGCGAAATAATCGTTATGCGAATGAATTTTCCCCATAAGAAATAATGGAAATAAAATTAATCCGTGCAAGACGCCCAAAAGTATGAAAAAAATTTTTTTTTACCACATGAAATGTTAATTTAATACACACAAACTGAAAAAGGCATGCACAATTAAATGACACTTACTTTTATGAAGATCTGGTGATGATTGATGGGATGGGAGGAGGGGAGAGAGTGTGTTAGTGTTTAGAAGGGGAATCCCCTTCCATTAGGACTTGAGGTAGTAAGTCCTTTTCTGGGGTTACTTCCCTTCTTCTTTTAATGCCACTAGGGCCAGCTTCAGAGTCACTGGACTTCTTTCGCACAAGATATCTGTCCATAGTGGCCTGTACCTCTCGTTCCTTTATGACTTGCCTAAAGTGTTTCACAACATTGTCAGTGTAATAATCACCAGCACGGCTTGCAATAGCTGTGTGAGGGTGATTTTCATCCATGAAGGTTTGCACTTCAAGCCACTTAGCACAGATTTCCTTTATCTTTGTAGTAGGCAACTTCTTCAATTTCTCTCTCCCCTCCTCTGAACCAGTTTCCTCAGGTCTGGCCTCTTGCTCTTGAAGTTGATCTATCAGCTCATCAGTGTTTAGTTCTTCATTGTCCTCCTCCACCAACTCTTCCACATCCTCCCCACTAACCTCCAACCCCAAGGACTTTCCCAATGCCACAGTGGATTCCTCAACTGGCACAGGATTCTCAGGGTTAGCCTCAAACCCTTCAAAATCCCTTTTGTCTACACATTCTGGCCACAGTTTCTTCCAAGCAGAGTTCAAGGTCCTCTTTGTCACTTCCTCCCAAGCCTTACCTATAAGGTTTACACAATTGAGGATATTAAAGTGATCTCTCCAAAACTCTCTTAGAGTCAGTTGAGTTTCTGAGGTCATTACAAAGCACCTTTCAAACAGAGCTTTTGTGTACAGTTTCTTGAAGTTGGAAATAA